TTCCCTGTAGCCCCAGCTGGCCTGGAACTCACCATGTAGACCAGGCTGTCCTTGAACTCACAGAGATCTGCCTGCCTCTACCTTTCAAGTGCTGGGACTAAAGGCATGTGCCACCATGCCCAGCCCAAAGTGCTCTTTTGGAAAGAATTTGAGAAGTTCCTAGCAGGACAAGGAGAAGCTTTCTTAGGAAGTATAATAAAGGGACTGCATGATCACTGGGGAGGCTGTGGCTCTAAGTGTAGTAAGAAATTGAAAATTGGATGTTGCTTATGAACATGCCTTGAATTCACTAAATTTCCAATGACCTTGAACTCCTGAAACCCCTGTCCCAACCTTCCCAGTGCTGGGACCACAGGTATGTGCCGCCCAGTTTATGGCCTGCTTGAGACTGAACCCAGGACTCAGGCACCTATTCTACCAACTGACCTATACTCTCCAGCACCAAGAACATTTTTCTTTCTTCTGCTGTTATTTTGTGTGTATGCATGCATGACAAGGCATGTATGTGGATGTCAAAGGACAACTTACAGGCCTCAATTCTCTCTTTCCACTATGTGGGTCCCAGGGATTGAATTTGGGTCATCAGGCTTGACACCAGGTTTCTTTGCCCACTGAGCCATCTCACTAGCCCCAATCTCTATCTATCTTTTTTTTTTTGTCTTTTTGAGACAGGGTCTCCCTGTAGTCCCAGCTCACCTGAACTCACTATGTAGACCAGGCTGGCCTTGAACTCACAAGGATCTGCCTGCCTCTGCCTGGGATTAAAGGCATGCGTTACTACGCCCGGCTTCCAGTCCCAATCTTAATAATTCTGATCTTTCATGAAGCTCACACAGAGCACCAAGGAAGAATGAGACAAAGTCAACATGTTCATGCTCACAGTGTGACCCCCGGGGCTGAGGAGCCTTACCTCTCACGTCCAGCCGTGCGATACTCGACACAGTGCCGTATTTGTTGCTTGCAGTGCACGTGAAGCATCCAGAATCTTCCGCAAACACCTCAGCAATGACCAAAGTGCAGATCTCCTCTACATAGCAGTAAGACAGAATTGTTACTGACTTCATCACAAAAAGAGAATTGTGAGATTTAATGATAGCAGAGGATGATTCTACAAAAGTCAATGGAAGGAGCTGACTTAAGTCTTTGAAAACAACTGGACCAAATAAGTATCTGATCAAACTGACTGGTTAGTAGGATCAAAGAGTCCAAGGATGTTGAGAACCAATAGCTCCTTGCAGGCAGGCTGAGAACTGGCAGGGTGATTTTGTGATGATGTGTATATCTGATCAAACTGACTGGTTAGTAGGATCAAAGAGTCCAAGGATGTAGAACCAACAGCTCCTTGCAGGCAGGCTGAGAACTGGCAGGGTGATTTTGTGATGATGTGTTACATATGATGCTGGGGGGAGCCCTGGCCTTAACATCATGATTCTCCTGCCTCATCCTCGTCAGCATTTGTTTACCAGCTACCACCAGAGCTTCATTCCCCAAAGGAATAGCTCAGGCTAGCCTTAACATCATGATTCTCCTGCCTCATCCTCGTCAGCATTTGTTTACCAGTGGCATGTGACCAGCTGTTACATACAATGGATGTTCAGATTGTCTTATGTTTTTATGCCATCAATCCAGATGGCAAAAATTAAACTGACAAACATTTTAAAAACCATAAAGACAAATTTGGGGTTAAAGGAAATAGGTGTGTGTGAAATAGACTAATGAAATATTTTTCTAGATCCAGGTCTCTCATTATTTCTAAGGGGAAATTTAGCAATGAGATGATTTTAAACAAAGGCCACAGTTTAAGTTGTGCAGAATGGCTGGGGATGAAGTTCGGGGATTGAACACTTGCCTAACATACATGAGGTCCTGGGCTCATTTCCCAGCAGTACCAAAAAAAGGGACATCTATTAACTAGCAATAAATGCTTTTCCTGAGTAGGAGCAATTAGCTGATGGAGTAGATAAAAATTCCAGGTGAAAGAACATAAGCATCCAGATATCACTTAGCAGCTCCTACATTAAAGATGAAGCTATGGGGTTGGAGAGATGGCTCGGTGGTTAAGAGTACTGGCTGCTCTTGCAGAAGACCAGGGTTTGATTCCCAGCACCCACATGACAGCTAACAACTGTCCATAACTCCAGTTCCAGGGGAATCCAATGACCTATTCTGACCTCTGTAGGCAATGCAAGACATGAGTGCACTTACATGCATGCAGGCAATATGCTCATACACACAAAAAAAATAATAAAATGTATTTTAAAATGAAGTTACTAGGGACTGGAGAGATAGCTCAGTGGTTAAGATCACTGGCTGCTCTCATAGAGGATGTGGGTTTGGTTCCCAGCACCCACCTGGCAGCTAACAACTGTCCAAAACTCCAGTTCCAGGGGATCTGACACCCTCTTCTGACCTTTGAGGGCACTGGACAACATGGGTGCACTTACATACATGCAGGTAATACACTCACACACATAAATTTAAAAATTTTTAAATGAAGTTACCGAAACAGTTATTTTAGGAGAAACTTGCATCTCAGTGCTTCATGATAACTGAGTCAGGTCAACTAGATCACCTCTAGAAAAACCGCCCAGGAGGCTGTGACAGATAGCAGTGAATGCTGCTTACAGGGTAAGACCTGCTTCTATAATGTGCCCAGTAGTATAGGGTAGGGCTGTCCGATATGAATGGTCCTACTCTGGAATGCCTTTCCATCGTCAAAAGAGAAAGCCACAGCAAAGAAATTGCAAACCATCTTCCTCACCCAGAGTTACAAACACAACCTTGAGGGTTCTACAACAGATGCCTGTGCCCTGGTTTGTGAGTGATTTGTGTTTCCTAGTGGCAAATGCTTCACCCATGCTCACCTGGAGGCCAGTATTCTCCAAGCCGAATCAACTAACAGCTCAGACATTTTATTGACTCTCTACCAATGTCAAGGTCTGATCCTTTATTATTTATTCATTTATTTATATGTGCTGGGGATCGAACCCATGGCCTTGAGTAAGCTAGGCAAATGTTCTCAATGAGCTATAGTCCCAGCCTCTGATCCGTAAACTTTGAGACACTTAGGCTGTGGGATTGGAATTGACCTGATGTGGAGGTTTGAATGGGAAATATCCCCACAGCTCAGACATTGAACATTTGGTCCCCAGTAGGTGGCAGCATTTGGAGAGGTTAGGGAACCTTTAGGAGGTGTAGCCTTGCTGGAGGAATTGCATCACTGAGGGTGGGGTGTTTTGAAGGCTTATAGCCTCATCCCAATTCCTGTTCTTGTTCTCTGGGTCTTGTGTGTGGGGTTGAGATGTGATTTCTCCATTCCTGCCCCTGCAGCCACATCATCCCTGACATCAGGGGCATCCAGCCCCCATGAAACAAAATGAGTCTTTTCCTTAAGTTGCTTTTTTGGTTATGGTATTTTATCACAGCAACAGAAAAGTAATACATTTGCATCATGGAAATTGTAAGTGCAGTTTGGGGAGGGAATTAGATGAGTGGCAGCCAAGGACAGAGAAAATACTCCCATGAAACATACCTCAGCAGTGAAAAACTAACTACACCCATATCAGATATTGAATACATATGCAAATTGGAACATGTTCCTGCCTTCCCCTTCTAGAATAACAGCTAGAGTTCCTTTGGATCTCTCTAGAAAATTTTATTTTCACTTTTTTGACACTAGAATAATTTCAACATGTTTCCATATATACATATATATGTATCTCAGATCAGTTATCACATATTAATAAATTAAAATAGAGATGATCTTTACCTGGCTCTGCCATGGATCGAGGCTCTAAAAGAAAAGAAAAGAAAAAAAAAGCTTGTGAGAATTTGTTTTACTGAGAAACTACATTTCCACCAGATGCTTCCTATAGAATTGCAGTGTCTTGCTTCCTTGGGGTGATATGATAAGGCTGACCTGTCAGTGTTAAGTAATGACTTAAATACTAATGACCTCAGTAAGGTCACAGAAGGGAAGTTAGAGAGCAACTACGTGATGCTTCACCTTAGAGTACACCTGGGTTCATGTAGGGAATACAAACTTCAGGCAAGGAAAAGCTCCCCCAGTGAGCTGGGATTCCAAAACAGCTAGCTTTTTTTAAAAAAAACTTAATTATTGTGTGTGTGTGTGTGTGTGTGTGTGTGTGTGTGTGTGTATGTGTGTGTGTGTGCCACAGCACTCATATGGAGGTCAGAGGACAACTTGCAGGAGTTGACTCTCTCCTTCCACCATACGGATCCGGCGATTGAACTCAGGTCCTCTGACTTGGCAGCAAGGGCCTTCACCTGCTGAGCCAGCTCGCCAGCTCATCACTTCCTTTTTATTACTCATTCAGCTTTACCTGAAAGAAAGCTGTGAAGTTTGAGACATTTGTTTTGTCTCGGGCTGTCCTGTTCCCTCCCCTTCTTTTTTTCTGCTACAGGGTTTCTAAGCTCAAGAGCCTCAGCATAGGTAAAGGTTCCTTGAAAGCAAGTTCTTTATCTTAAAAATCTTTTGTTTTCCTGAAAGTGCTAGGCAGGGCAGCCATGCAACTGTTCCCCAAATGCTCATACAATGGCAGGCTCTCACTAGACAGCTGTCCCAGTTAGTGCCCATCTTCTACCATACACAGAACTACCGAAGCGGTTTTCTTTTCTCAGTTAAATGGTGATCAGAACATATTATTTACTGCTGCCACCACAGCTAAAACCTTCAGTAGCTCTTAATCATATCATACCGAAAAAAGAATGGTAAGTATATGAGTTCATGCATACATTAAGTAGCTCAGTTTAGCCACTCACAATTTATTTGTATTTTGCTAGGTATGGAAGTACACCTTTGGAATTCCATCACCTGGGAGGCAAAGGAGGCTGGCTGCAAGTCCCAGGCCATCCTGGTCTACGCAGTGAGTTCCAGAATATCAGGGCTACGTTTATTAGCCAAAAAAGAGGAGTCTAGCTAGGTGTGGTGGTGCACGCCTTTAATCCCAGCGCTTGGGAGGCAGAGAGAGGCAGGTGGAGCTCTGTGAGTTCAAGGCCAGCTGGGGCTATAGGGAGAACCTGTCTACAAAAGATTAAAGAAAAAAAAAATAGGAATCTAATACACTCATGCCTGAGGCACATAATTCATTTTTTGCATTATTTGCTAAAAAAACATAAAAAATAAAAGTAATACATGTTCATTATTGAGAAACTGAAAGAAAAAAAAAGAAAAAGAAAAAGAAAAGCCCACAAAATGCAAAAGGGTGGGGGCCAGCAAGATGGCTCAGTGAATAAACACTTGTTGCAAAAGTCTGACAACCTGAGTTCGATCCACAGAACGTGGAAGAGCCAACGCCACAAAGTTGTCCTCTGGCTTCCATCTGAGTGCTGTGGTGAGCCTCCTTCCTCTCTCCCTCTCTTTCTCTCTCTCTCTCTCTCTCTCTCTCTCTCTCTCTCTCACAGAGACACAGACATGCAGACACACAGACACACTAACAATAATACATTTTTTAACTGCAAAAAGAAAGGCCGGGCATGGTGGCACACACCTTTAATCCCAGCACTTGGGAGGCAGAGGTGGGTGGATCTCTGTGAGATGGAGGCCAGCCTGGTCTACATAGTGAGTTCCAGGCCAGCTGGGGCTAAAGGATGGAGCTGAAGATTAATTGTTTCTATATTGCCTATAAAAGAGTGAAGGTTGAAAACAACGATGAGCACTCATTGTTGGCAAACGTGTGAAACAAAAGGTATTTCCTTAATTTTTAATTTTTATTTCCTATTTTTAAAAAATTATTTTAATTTTATGTGTTTGAATGCATTGCCTGCATGTATGTAGTACACCTGTGTCATGCAGTGCCCAAGGAGAACAGAAGAGGGCGTCGGATCCTCTGGAACTGGAGTTACAGATGGTTGTTAGCCACCATGAGGGAGCTGGGATTTAAACCCTGCTCTGGTCTTCTGCAAGAGCATCCGGTGTTCTTAACCACTGAGCAATCTCTCCAGTCCCAGATTTTATTAAAAATTTTTTTTTGCTTTTCTTTTTTGAGACAGGTTCTCACTATTTCTCCCTGTCTGGCCTGGAACTTGCTAGCTATGTGGACCAGACTGACTTTGATCTCACAGAGATTTGTCTGCTTCTGCCTCCCAAGTGGCGGGATTAAAAGCATGCACCCAGGTCGGCCTTGAACTCAACAGTAGCTGAGCATTATCTTTAATTTATGATGCTTCTGTCTTCACCGTCTGAGTTCTGAGGTTGGGGATGTGGACCACTGTGCCTGATTTATGTGGTGCTGGGGATGGACCCCAGGGTCCTGTGCATGCTAGGCAAACGCTCCATCAAGAGCTAGACTCAATCCTACAAAAGGTATTTCTGTTTCGCTGCTTGTGGTAAAAAGCTGGCAAAGACCTAGTTTATGCCTTGGGTAGAATCTCTGCATAATTATTAATAATATTCACTTTTCTCCCCTAAGTGTTCCAGTTTGAGTGACCAATTGTGGGATATCCTAAATTAACCTTTTGGGATGGCATTTTGGCAGCGTATGTTATAAGCCCTAAACAATGTGGATCTACAGTAGAAATTCAGTCCTAGAGATTAATTTTAAAGTAATAATGGATGAATAGTCACAAAGATGTGCCCTATTAACACGCACTGTTTATAACATGAAGATTCACGCCCAGGCGAAATGCTACCAGGAGATGAAGCTAACGTGAAATTGAGCCTGGTGGCTTGTCCCTCTAATCCCAGCACTCAGGAGGCTGAGGCAGGAGGATAACCTAAGATTTTGAGGGCATCCTAGAATACATAGTAAGTTTTATGGCAGCTTGGGAAACAGAATGTGACTTTATCTTTAAGAAAGTAAAAAATAAGCGGGGTGTGGTGACACATGCCTTTAGTCCCAGCACTCTGGAGGCAGAGACAGACAGATCTCTGTGAGTTCAAGGCCAGCCTGGTCTAGATAGTTCCAGGCCATCTGGGGTTACAGGGAGACCCTGTCTCAAAAGGACCAAAAATAAAATAAAATAATAAAATAAAATAAAATAAAATAAAATAAACTAGGTGCGTGCCTTTAATTTCAGCACTCAGGAGGCAGAGGCAGGTAGATCTCTGTGAGACCAAGGCCAGCCTGATCTACATAGCAAGTTCAAGGCCAGCTGGGGTTACAGGGAATAAATAAATAAATAAATAAGAAACTAATTATGTTTACTTTTTTTTTTTTTTTTTGGTTTTTTTGAGACAGGGTCTCCCTGGCCTGGAACTCACTATGTAGACCAGGCTGACCTTGAACTCACAGAGATCTGCCTGCCTCTGCCTCCTGAGCCCTGGGACTAAAGGTGTACACCACCACACCCTGCATGTTTCCTTTTTTGGAAACAGAATTTTGATATGTAGCCCAGGCTGATCCCGAACTTGTGATGATCCTCCTTTATCTGTGCCTCCACAATGCTGGGATTGCAGGCATGTGCCACCACATCTAGCTTGCTAACTTATAATTGTAATAGGGCACCTTCTTGACCATAGCTACACCATGCTAAAGTTTAGGCTGACTCTAGTTTCTGAAATTATCAGGCAGTTGGCCCAGGGTATGGGAACACATGGCAGCTGGACCCTGGTTGTCTTGGGAACAGGTCAGAGCACCCTAGAGTGCTCCTGCTAACTGCTGATTTATGGCTTCTGTAGGTTATGCTTGGCTTGCTTCTGCAAAATAGTAATTGATGCTTAATAGAACAGAATTTATTAAGGGGACTCTCCACCTATAAGCTTGAGAACTTAAACTTTTCATTCCTGGTCATAGTTTCTCTGAACAAGAATTACACCATAGCAAGTTGGAAGACTTAGGGAAACTTTAAAAGATCGGGGATACGATTTTTCCTAGGATACACTTGCTATACAACCCCACCCCCAGGGAACTTTGTGACCAGTAAAGGTAATGTAGCATGACCAATGGAGAATAATAATAAGATTGATAATGTCTGTTTATGAAAGAGGTGAAAGCTAGTTCCGTGAAGGCGTACTATGGTTCGGGGTTGGGGGGTGGTTGGAAAACTGTAGTTTCTTATGTATTTTCTTGATAATGTTTGCTCAAGCTTAACGCTCAATGATTGGCTTCTGTATTTTGCTTGCTTGCTTAGCAACATGAGCAATATAAAAGAGCCAGAGCACTTAGGCTTGGGGCTACACTCGGACCCTCTAGGAAACAGTGTAGCCTGGCTGTAAGAAATCTTTCTCTAGACTCACCTGTCTGTCTGTTTGGGGCATTTGTGGGTCTCAGACTATAACATAATATTTTTATATTTCATTTATATATTTATTTTGCATTGCTGGGAGTTGAACCCAGGGCCTTGTGCATGCTAGGCAAGCACTCTAACACTGAATTATATCTTCAGCCTGAATTACTACACATACATGTTAAAAATTATTTTATTCATTTATCTGGTGGGGGGCACATGCATACTATCGCATACCTGTGGAAGGCAGAGGACAAGCTGTGTGAGTCCCTTCTCTCCTTGCACTGTCTGGGCCCCGGGGATTGGCCCTGTCATCAGGCTTGGAGGCTTTGCCAGCTGAGCCATCTCATTGGCTCCTGACTTAAAATATTTTTAAAATTAAGACAAGTAGTATGTAACTTTGTGGTAGAGCTCTTGCCTAGCGTGCATAAGGATCTGGATTCAATTCCCAGCACTGCAAAAACAATTATAATTATGGCAGGCAAGATGGACAGCTCAGGGGTAAAGCACTTGTTACCAGGCCTGATGACCTGAGTTCAATCCTCCAGATCCATGTGGAACCTGCTCTAGAAAGTTATCCTGTGATCTCCACAGGCACATTGTGGTATGTTTGCCCATATACACATACATACATGCACACAGACACACATGTACACACAATACATAAATAAATAAATGTAACAACAAATTTAAATAAATAAAAGTAATAAAACTATGCTACCATGGAAAGATGTCTATGAACTTTTGTGCATAAAAATCAACTACAGCAAGGCATGGTGGCCCAAGCCTTTAACCCTGACACTCAGGAGACAGAATCAGGCAGATCCATGTGAGTTCCAGGTCAGCCAGGGTTGCACAGTGAGACCCTATGTCAAAAATAAATTTCTGGGTACGGTGGCTCAAGCCTTTAATCACAGCACTTGAGAAGCAGAGACAGGGGGAATCTCTGTGGGTTCAAGGCCAGCCTGGTCTACATAGTGAGTTCCAGGCCAGCTCACAGAGAGGCTACAAGGAGACCTTGTCTCAAAAAGACCCAAAATAAGTAAATAAATAAATAAATAAAATAAAAATAAATAAGCCAGTGGGGTGTGGTGGCATGCAGGAGGTGGAGGCAGGCAGATCTCTGTGAGATTAAGGCTAGCCTGGTCTACATAGCAAGTTTGAGGCCAGATGGGCCTACAGGGAGACTCTGTCTTAAAGCAAAACAAAAAATCAATTACAAAAAGAATATGACTCATTTAAAAACTTTAAAAATATGTGGCTGGAGAGATGGCTTAGCAGTTAAGAACACTGGCTACTCTTTCAGAGGATCCATGTTCAGGTCCCAGCACCCACATGGCAGCTGACATAATTCCAGTTCCAGGGTACCTAATGCCATCCTCTGGCTTCCATGGGTACTGCACTCACATGGTGCAATTACATACATGCAGACAAAACACTTATACACATAAAAAATTTAAAAAATAGGGACTGGAGAGATGACTCAGTGGTTGAGTACTGGTTGCTGTTGCAGAGGACCCAGGACCCAGATTCAATTCCCAGCACCCACATGGCAGCTAACAACTGTCCATAACTGCAGGGAAATCTGATTCTCTCTTCTGACCTCTGTGGGCACTGCACAACACAGATATACACACAGGCAATACAGTCATACACATTAAAAAAAAAAAAAACAATAAATGAAATATTTTTAAATAGAAAATAATATATATATATATATTTTGGTTTTTTGGAGACAGGGTCTCCCTGTAGCTCCAGCTGTCCTGGAACTCACTATGTAGACCAGGCTGGCCTTGAACTCGCAGAGATCTGCCTGCCTCTGCCTCCCGAGTGCTGGGGTTAAAGGCAAGGGCCACCACACCCAGCAGTTTTGACTACATTTTAAATTTGTTGTTAAGACATAAAAACAATGTATTAAAAAGTCTGAAAGTATCAGCAAAGTTCCGACTTACTTTTCTGTAAGATCCTGAAATCCGGAGAATCTTCTATCAGGGCTCCTTCTCTGTACCACTGGACTTTAGGGGATGGAGCTCCTTTGACTCTACATTCGAAGACCACCAGCTGCCCCTCGGATGCTGACAAGTTTTGCAGCATCTGGAACGAAAGGAGAGTTTTAAAACCACACCGCAGACGTGCGGATCCAGTCCAGGGCTGCACCGTAGACGACACCTTTCCTCCACACCTGCTTTCCCCAGCTCTTCGAAGTCCCACAGCGGCAGTTAGGTGAGCATGCACTGAATCAGTTTTTGCAGACGTCATCCGACCTTTCCAAAGCTCTTTCTTCATTACTTTCTGCCTTTCCCTCCACTTCAGTGCTAATTAAATTTATTAAATATTAAGTAGAGCATTTTGAGTAAAGGGGATAATTTTTAGTAAAGTATTTGTTTTTTTTTTTAATTTGTATTTCCCTTTCCCCCTGCTTTGCCATTCACTCCTATAAGTAATGTTTTTTTTTTTTAAATCTATTATGTATTTATTTTTTTTAAGAATTTCTTTAATTCAGGGACAGATTTTTTAAAAAAAATATCTTATTTGCCGGGCGTGGTGGCTCACACCTTTAATCCCAGCACTAGGGAGGCAGAGGCAGGGGGGTCCCTGTGAGTTCGAGGCCAGCCTGGTTGGTCTACATAGTGAGTTCCAGGACAGCTGGGGCTACAGGGAGACCCTGTCTCAAAAAGACCAAAAAAAATTTTTTTTAATTTATTATTTTTTTTTTATGTGTATGAGTGTATTGCTTGCATGTATGTGAGTGCACCCGTGTCGTGCAATGCCGCCCTCAGAAGAGGGCGTCGGATTCCCCTGGAACTGGAGTTAAGGACGGGTTGTAGTCGCGATGTGGGTTTTGGGATTCGAACCCAGGTCCTTTCCAAGTCAGTGCTCTTAACCGCTGCGCCATCTCTCCAGCTCCCCTAAATCTCTTTGTTTTTTGTTTGTTTGTTTGTTTTTTGAGACAGAGTCTCCCTGTAGCCCCAGCTGTTCTGGAACTCACTATGTAGACCAGCCTGGCCTTGAACTCACAGAGATCCGCCTGCCTCTGCCTCCCAAGTGCTGGGACTACAGGCGAGCGCCACCACGCCCAGCTTAAATTTGTTATTTTTATTTAATGTATATGAATGTATTGTCTGCATGTAAGTGTACCTGTGTCATGTAATGCCCATGGAGGTCAGAAAAGGGCCTTAGATCCCCTGAAATGGGAGTCACGGTTGGTTGTTGGCTGCTGTGTGGGTGCTGGAAATCAAACCTAGGTCCTCTGCAAGAGCAGCCAGTGCTTTTAACCACTGAGCCATCTCTTCAACTTGTGATTTTTTTTTTGGTACAGTTCTTGTTTCAACAGGATTTTTTTAATTTTATGAATGCTTTAAAAATTTTTTAATTACTTATTTAATAACCACATACTTGGAAGAAGTATTTCATTACAACAGCATTGACATATTCAATAACAATTTTCTGAGCTAAGGTGCATCTTTTTCAGAATTGGCTGTAAATTTTTAGGTTTACAGTTGGATTAGTGCAGTTATACAATATTGTACTCAGTATAAACCCTATAAGACATAAAGTTAAATGAGGTTTTAACCTTAAAATTCATTTTTAATGCAATTGACATTAAGATGTTTGCACATGCCTTAACTCACCAGGCTGGCCTTGAACTCACGGAGTTCCTCTTGCCTCTGCCTCCCAAGTGCTGGGATTACAGGCATGCGCCACCATGCCTGGCTAAGAACAAGATATTTTATGCACTGTCTTGCTACATTTACAGTCCTGTCTGGCAGCCATGTCCCACCTATGGACCAGAGGCCTCATGCACCCCAAAACACCTATGAGTACCGCCCAACACAAAGTCACAAACTTACTTAAAATATCACAGAGTGGGGTTTTGCGGTGTTTTTTTTTTTTGTTTTGGTTTTTTTGTCAACGTGAAAAATATTACAAAGAAGGTTTTGGGTTTTTTTTTTTTTTGTAACTTGAATGTAGCACAGGAATTTAGGATTCAGAGGTGTCTGCAATTGACACTATGACCACCAGGAGGAACTATAATTCAATGTCAGTGTCGTGTTCTTTTAGCACTCTGGAATTTGTTTGCGGAAGTCATTCATGACCAGAACAGCAGTGTTTCTGAATTAATAAGGAGTTATTCGATTAGAAATCTAGTTATTCCTCATCCCCACAAACACATCTAATGACAAGACTGGGAAGCAGTAAACGCCCAGGAGACTTGGGTTATTCCCAGCAAACTCATATTCTCTACCCTGAGTGCTGAGCAAATTGTATGCTTAATACCAGTTTCGGGACCTACTGGAACCTTTAGTGGCACCCAAACACCTCCCTGGAATTCATTCATAATAAGGTGTTTATTTCTTTTTTAAAATTCATTTTTAACTTTTTTGAGAATTTCATACATGAGTACTGTATTTACATAATTTTTTTCCGCTCTCTCTCCACCCTCCAACTATTCCCACATGCTCCCCTTCCATACCCTCTCAATTTTGTGGCCTCTTCTTTGATTATTGTTACATATATGTGTGTGCATGTATGTGTATATATGTATGTGTATGTGTACAAAATGACTCCATTTAGTGGTACCTGTACATGTATTTATGGCTGACCACTTGGGATTGGATAGCCTACTAGGGAACTTGTCCCCAGAGAAAACTGACTCTCCCTCCCTCATCAGCCATCGACTCCCTGCTCTTCATCTAGAGACAGGACCCTGTGAAATGTCCCCTGTCCACACTGGCCTGGTGTTGTCACTGTGCAGGTCTTGTTTGAGCAACCATATTGTTGAGACGCTTATTTCTTTTGAGGCAAACAAATTAGAAAATCAAAACAATAGCTCCCAGTAAAGGTGGTGGTGGCGGCAGGGGTTGAATAATGAGCCAGGACACACTTATAAAATGAATAGCTCAGCATGAGGTCAGTTCACACGCTGTACCTTGATCTATGGTTGAGTTCATAGGCTAGGCTGCAGAGAAACCCCACCTTGTTGGTTGTTATTTTTCATTTGTCAATGAAAGCCAAGACCTGTGTTCTATTTGAGAAGTCAGCCAAGACAGCAGTAATGCTATGGTGTGTGGAACAAGCCTACTAATGTTGGGATAGGAGGTGGAAGTTCATCCCAGTGTGAATCAACTCTTGGAAGATTCCATGGGTCATCTTACAGCTCACTTAGAAAAAGTTGTTGAAAGCCCAAGTTACTACTGCTGAAAACTGTGCTGCCCTCCTTCTTTAAAATTTTTTTATTACATTTTTATTTATTGGTGGGAGGACAGGCACATGAACATCAGGGTGCACGTGTGGAGGTCAGAGGTCAACTTGCAGGAGTCAGTTTTCTCCTTCTACCATGTGGGATCTGAGGATCAAACTCAAGTCATCCAGCTTGGTGGCAAGCATGCTCACCTGCTGAGCCATCTTGGGTGTTTTTTGGTCTTTTTGAGACAGGGTCTCCCTGTAGTGGGGCTGGCCTAGAACTCACTATGTGGATCAGGCTGGCCTTCAACTCACAGAGATCTACCTACCTCTGCCTCCAGAGTGCTGGGATTAAAGGTGTGTATCAACATGCCCAGCACCATCTTTTTTTTTTAATTTATTTTTTATTTTTACTCATATGTATCTGTGTGTGGGTATGTGTATGTGAGTGCAGTGCTTTTGGAAGCCAGAAGACGGTGTTGGAGTCCCTGGAGCTAGAGATACAAGAAGTTGTGAGCCATCCAGTGTGGGTGCTGGGAACTGAACTCCCACCACACCCAGCTTCTACAAAGTCTGGTAAGAAGGAGATGGCTCATGTTGCTACACATCAAGGTCCAAATTAGTTACACCATTAGAACAGTGTAGATGACCCCATGTTTTCATGGCGGTAGATGTTAGACTGCTCCTAATGCTTTGAATACAGTTAAAATATGTCTCCCAGCTTGGTTCACAGGGTGATGATGTTAAGAGCTGGTAGGACCTAGTAAGTGATTGTTGTTAGCTCCTTTTTGATTTTTTAGTTTCCTGCCTTGTCACGTGATCTATCTCTTTGTGTGTCTCTGTCTCCCCCTCCCTCTCTCTCTTTCCCATCCTTGCACTGCTATCTTCCATAAGCACCTCACCAAAGCTAAGTCAATGTCAGTGCTATGCCCTTGAACCTCCTGAACCGTAAGCTACACAAACCCCTTTCCTTTATAAAGGACCCCACCTTGGGTATTTCATTATAGTTACAGAACACAGACAAATACACATAATGGTGTACAGACTTGATCATATTCATTTAACTTTAGTAAAGATGAACAAAATAAATGCAACAGTCCCCAAATGAGAAAGATCAAGTTAATCTTTACAAGAAATTATGGACCTGAACTGAAGTCACTATAATCAAGGTCCATAGCCTCCTGAGGTAAACAATGCCTGAAGTGCAAATCTGTCATCATATGGATGATCTGTGAGAACACAGAGTCCCCTGCTGACCTGGAACTCGCTATGTAGACTAGGCTAGCCTCGAGCTCACAGAGATCCACCTGCCTCTGCCTCCCAAGTGCTGAGGACATTCTTTATAGGGAGACAACACAATAGTCTCAGTAATTCTGTCTTCTACCAACAGTCAGCACTTTTAAAATAATTTGCTCTGTTCTTCCTAAAGATAGTCTGAAGCACCGAAGAATTCCTTCTCGGCAGAAATGGAAGTGCTTACCACAGAGTAAACATCCCAGGTGCCTGCTTTGTGCCGAGTGCCGTGCCAGGCTCTGGAAGTGTGAGTTCCTCTCTAGGAGAGCTTGGCCAGCAAACATAATGCAGAGATATCCTTCAGGAACAGCAGTTCCCTGACAGTTTAAAAGACGTCAGTGCCAAGATTCATTTTGTCATTTTATTTGTTTTTAAATCGGGTAGATGTTTTTGTGCCTTGGGGCATGATGTAAGTGAACCTGTACTGTGTCTTAGGCTGGAGTTGATTCAGAGATGTTTTACTAATAAAGACCAATGGGGGCCAGCAAGATGGCTCAGTGGGGAAAGGCGCTTTTTCAAGGCTGATGATCTGAGTTCCATCCCCGGGACCTGCATGGTCGAATGAGAGGTCCCATTCTCACAAGTTGTCATCTAACCTCCACACACATGCTGTAACATGTGCACACCACACACATGCATACACACAAACAATAAAATCTAATAAACAGACTGATGGAATGTCCTTTGTCATTGGGTTGTCACAGGTGACCTATGCAAAGGTTGAGTCAGAAGTCTTCGGATCTGGTGGGTTGGAAAGAGGGACTGTGAAGTCTTTAGAAATCAATTATTTCAGGGTTTCCTGCCTGTGCTGTTATATGATGAAGAGCTCTTCAAATCCACACTTCCCCTGCCCCCTTGTACTCTTCAAATTACTGCTGAAGCAGCAGGAGCCAGGGCTGTTGCAGCCTTGACAGCCGACCAGAGCAGCTGCTGTCCAGTGGGAACACGCACAGGAACAAGATCCTAATTTGATCACCTCTCCTTCCACACTCAAGAAGTGTGTTATTCTCCCTATAGGCAGGGTATGTTTGATACTACAGAGAAGAGGGGGTAGTTGGGGTCCATCCACAACTGAAGGCTATTTAAACACTTAGGAGGGACAGTGAGATGGTTTACATGGTGAGATGGCTCATTCAGTAAGAGAGCTTGCTACCAAGCTTGATGATCAAATTTGATTCTTAGAACACCTATGGTGGAAACAGAGAATCAACTTTTGCAAATTGCCTTCTGACCTATATGTGAGTCCTTCCTTCCTCCAAATAAAAAATTAAGATGAACAAACAGGAGGTGGATTGAGGACGTCGCTCAATTGGCAAAGCCCTGGGTTTGAGTCCCAGCACCACATAAACCAGCACACCTGCAACTCTAGCGCTACAGTAGAGGAAGGAGGACCATGAGGCCAGCCTGGGCTACATGAGACTTTGTCCCAAAAAAGAAAAAAGAAAAGGAGGGCTGGAGAGGTCGCTCACTGGCAGAACACCTGCCAATGAGCTTGGCTCAATGCACAACAAACCATTGAAGCGTGTATTATCTGTGAGTTAATCAGTAAACACACATAGAATCCCACTGTCTTCTCTTAAAAGTTACCACAGTTTGGCTGGGCAAGTCTCCTTTTCATTTTAACCTTCTTCAAAAAGAAGGTTAGTATCTTTCCATCAGCAAAGGAGAAATAAGGAGTTAAAGCTGTGCTCGCTAATCATTGGTCTTTCAAAAATGGCTTCTTGCTATAACTGGCAAAGAAACACTTTGTTGGGCTGTATAGAAAGTGAGTCACAGGAACCCCAGCACCTGAAGTCCCTAAAAAGGCAAACAGAGCAGGAATGGCCTGGATGAACATGCAAATCACCTGCTATCATTGCTCTGGCCACATAGTACCGTCATTGGTAGCTGTGACTCTGTGACTCAGAAATTTGCTAACGACACTGGCAGTGACTGTGACCTCAGTCCTGCCCTCACTGACGGAAACTACGCAGGCTCACTGCAGCTGATAAGTCTCTCTGGAATTTGATCTCTAGCCTATCCTGGTGCTCCACAGTCCCTGAACAATCCTCATCCCATTTATGGAGGTGAAAGCCCGTGTCCAGAGGTCAGAGAAAGCCTCCTGTGCCTTTTAAAAAAAAGTCTGAGGTTCAGAGCGTAGCTCAGTGGTTGAGTACTTACCCATTAAGCACAGGGTTTAAAACCAAAGACCCATTTCCTACCAGAGAGCTAATGTTTTTATAGATTTCACTGCATCTAATGATCAATTCAGTTCCCCATGTTTGGTTTTTAAAGGCACATGTACCTGGCAATCAAAGCATCTAAATAGAAAGAGGCAGCCTGAGTCACCACATAAGAGCAGTTAAAACTGATACTTTGACTAACCTGTGAAAATTAAATATGAAGAATGAATGTTAAAGGTTCCTATCTGATTCCCTCCTTCCTCACTCCCTGGCTCCCTTTCTGTCTGTCTCTGTCTCTCTCACTCTTTGCAGTGCTGAGGGTTAAACCCTGTGCTTAATAGGTAAGTACTCAACCACTGAGGTATGCTCTGAACCTCAGACTTTTTTAAACAATAAAAATAGCCTTAGATCTATAATTACCCTTATGAACTTTTCTTTTTGAGACAGGGTCTTCTTATGTAGCCCAGGCTATTCTTGAACAACCTCCTCCTGTCTTAGTGTCCTGTCAGGATTATAGGCATGCATTGATACAACAGACTTCACTTTTATAAACTTCTATCTACATATTACACAGAGCTTTCAGACTGATCGGGAAAGCTGGACAAAGTGAACAGCTTATCTAAGATGAATGTGTGCCAAGGCGTATTCTCTAGGTGACAGGAACAAACTGGACATAGAGCACCTAGGTTTTATTTTTAATTTTTATTAAATGTCTATGAGTGTTTTGTCTGTATGTATGTAAGTGTACATATCATGCAATGCCCGTGGATGTCAAAAGAGGACATTGGATCCCCTGGAACTGGAGTTACAGAAGGTTGTTAGCCGCCATGTGGGTGCTGGGAATCGAACGTGGGCCCTCTGCAAGAGCAGCCAGTGCTCTTCACCACTGAGGCATCTCATCTCTCCAGCCCCCATGCCTAAGTGATTGAGTGGAGGTGGTGTTGAGGATGGGAAGAGAGGAGACTTTGCTGGGGACCAGGTACCAACTATTTTGTGGTTTAGTTATCCTTGAAGACTCAGCACTGTCTCTAAACTGTGACAGACATGACAAATTAAACCAAGTGTCCTGATTTCTGTGTCATGTTTGTGCTGTATTTTCAGGCTAAATGACTTAGCAGTTCAATAAGAGATAGGAAATAGTTCTACTAGCTGTAACACACACACACACACACACACACACACACACATACACACACACACGTCCACCCACAATTTCTCCTCAAAGTTATAACAGGTAATTTTCCCACTTCCAGTCTTTTGAAGTAGTGAGGCTGAAACCTCAGAGGCAGGTACTGAGTTAATCTAAAAAAATCGAGAGACCTCATGTTCACATAAGAAACCTTGTCTAACTGACATGGAGATAGGTGAATCTGGCTTGCTCTGATTCCATGATGGAGTTCAGAAAACCACCTTGTGTGAATTGATCCTCCATGGCTCCCATCTGTGAAAGCTGTGGATTTGGCAAGAGCATTAGGACTGTCAGACAAGACCACCTGTGCCACTTGAGAAATTGGGGGTTCTCAGCTTGGGCACTATTGAGACTGGGCTGAATGATTCTTTGTTGTTAGAGATGGGTGTGGTAGCACACGCCTTTAATCCCAGCACTTGGAGGCAGAGGCAGGTGGATCTCTGTGAGTTCAAGGCCAGCCTGGTCTACCTAGTGAGTTCCAGTCCAGCTGGGGCTACAGGGAGACCCTGCCTCAAAAAGACCAAAAACAAAAAATTCTTCGTCATTGGGGGCTGTCACCCTTGTAACAATCAAAACTGTTTCCAGACATTACCAGCGACCCTTGGAGAACAAAATTAACCATGATTAATAACCATAGCTCAAACCATATATCTTATAGGATAGAACTCTCTTTGGACCTATGTTTGGTGTTCATAAGAATAAACTATAAATCCAGACATAGACTCTAAGCATTTAGCCTTTATAATACCAAAAAAAAAATCCAATGTGATTTAATTTTTTGAACTCATTGTATTGGACAACATGTAAACACAGTCTGTATTACCAGTAGAAGGAACCATTCTAAAAGGTGGAAGAACTTGTTTCTGATCTTAATTCTACCACAGCCAGTCCTGTGACTTAGCTAAATTGCCTAATCTCTCTGACCTCCCTTGGTTTTTTGTTTTGGGGATTATTTTTTTTTTCCATTTGTAAATGAAAATGCCTGTCTTAATTTTCAGGTTCTATACACAAATGGGTTTTAGAATTTGGTGAATCCACAACAACTAATATCACAGAACAGAAAAGAAAGTTCTTTGTCCTAAGTCAAGCTTTATGTTAAATCTCTTAGGAGCATTTAACACCATCTCCTTGATCACCAAAGACAGACCCCACAACCAGATTCTCCTGAAAGTCCATAGATGTCTCTAGAATAATAAGGAGTTAGAATCTTGTCACCTGATCTCCAGATGTAGATGTTTAACAACTCCCAGTATAACATAGAGATCAGTGTGGTTAGAGGGGAGAAGAGAATAGTCTCCTTCTTACAAAAACTATTGTCAGAAATCTGAGATTTCTAGCTCAGGTGGCAGAGGCCTGCCTTGCATGCAGAATGCCCTGGGTTCAATCCCAGCACTGACTAGATTGAGTGTGGATTATACCTGTAATTCTAGCACTCCATATGTTCAAGGTTATCTTCAACTGCATAGCAAGTTCAAGGCCAGCAGGGATACATGAGACCCTATCCCAAAGTAAGTAAGTAAATAAATAAATCTGGGACTTGAACTGATACCATGAAAACTACAAACAAAACAACCCCAAGTCCTGCACTGTACTTATAAATGAACAAAATCTTGAGATAAAACTAGTAAATCTTGGCTCTTTTGTCTGGATTCTGTGGTGCTGTTAGAGCTCTGACAGAAAGAAAGAAGTCCTCTTTGATTACCTTTGTAAACACAGGTGCCGCAATGATGGGCTTTCCATCCAGTCCTTGCAAATAGTTGGTGGGACTCTGACACTGCTAGAAGGGAACAACAACACATTTGTTGTCACTGAGGCTGCTGCATAGACAGACAGATATGGAATATCTACAGATTTTGCTATATAAAATAAATCTCAAATCAAAAGACCAGTGTTCTCTAAATTTATGTATCATAGACCAGATTGTAGACTGAATTGATTGCATGTCTTTCAAGATCAAGCTGGCTATAAAATAAATGCTTCTGCCTCCATCCTGTACAGATCCAGGTAACCAGCTCCAACCCTCTGAAGAGGGCATCAAATCCCTGGGGCTACACAGATCACAAATGGAGAACCAATGGATTTGAACTAAAACTTAACCTTCTGCATTACCAAATGGATTAGATAAGTAATCTTGAATATTTTTAAACTTGTACATCAGTATATCTAAAATATATTTAATTAAGTCATTGATATGTTGCAAATATATTTAGAAAGTTTAATTTCATGTTTTAAAGTACATGCCTACACAAACATTCTTATATATGCATAGAAAATGTCTGGAATTCTCTACTAGCAACCGTTAACATTAACAGGAAATAAGTCTAAATACCTTCGAGGAGCAGGGGGTAGGATGGTAGAAACCGGACTAAAGTTTTTACTTAGTTTTTACTTAATATACTTCTATATTTGAAGGTGTTTTTTTTTTCTGTCTTTTTGAGACAGGGTCTCCCTGTAGCCCCAGCTAGCCTGGAACTTGTTATATAAACCAGGCTGGCCTTGAACTCAGAGATCGTCCTGCCTCTGCCTCCCAAGTACTGGGAGTAAAGATGTGTGCCACCACGCCTGGCTTATATTTGAATGTTTTTATAGTAAGCATGTATTATAATTAACTTGAAAGGAGAGTCTTCATTGTTTTCTAAAGAAAAATAAATTCCTGCTTGCTTTATCTTGGAAAGCAGAATTAATTCAGTTTCATGAAATAAAGTTTTATGATGCAGTGCTGTTCGTTCATAGCTAATCAGCACAGTTTATGGAGCTGCGTTGTCAGAGACTAACTTGTGAAGAGTTCTCTTTTCCTATGAGCTGGAAAATAAGTTTCCAAAGCAAAAGGAATCTCTGAGTGCACATGTCAGAAGGACAAAGTGATTATCTTGATGAGAGAATTACAACAGAGGAGCACGAGCTGCGCGGGATGGTCATGGTCACCGTGCTTTGCCCCTCACAGTTCATGGCGCTGTGCTTCACTTAGATTCTTTACCTGCTGAATGGCAGACACTCTGGGCTGGGCCACTGAAGGCTGGGCATGGGGCACCCCAGGAGGAATGGCTGCAGATGTAGTGGGAGGTGATGATACCTCATTTGGCTTCTGGATCCTGAGAAATTATTAAAACATAGATTATAATTCAGAACTATAACAGTTCGTGAAAAACCTTTCAGCAAAGCTAGTAATGCAGCCATTGTTTACAGCTGGATGTATAAGTTTTTGACAGTGTTCTAAAACTATTTACCCAACATTCATTGCTACTTTGTTAGACAATGCAAATATAAAGGAGTAAGATACTCTTCTTCCTCCTCTTCCTCTTCCTCTTCCTCCTCCTCTTCTTCCTCTTCTTTCTACACTTCCTCCTCTTCTTCTTCTTCTTCTTCTTCTTCTTCTTCTTCTTCTTCTTCTTCTTCTTCTTCTTTTTCTTCTTCTTCTTCTTTTCCTTCGTTTTTTTTATGGTCTTTTTGAAACAGGGTCTCCCTGTAGCCCCAGCCAGCCTGGAACTCACTATGTAGACCAGACTGGCCTTGGACTCACAGAGATCTGCCTGCCTCAGCCTCCCAAGTGCTGGGATTAGAGGTGTGCACCACCACACCCAGCTTCTCTTTCTTTCTTATAAACAGTCTGCTGTATCCTATACTTCTGATCCTTCTGCCTCTGCTTCCTGAATGCTCAGAGCATGCACCATCATACCTGGATTATAAGGTGCTTGAGATCAAACCCAGGGCTTTGTGCATTTTAGGCAAGTACTCTATCAACTGAGCTACATCCTCAGCCCCTTCCTTTTCACATTCCAAGCAAGAGGCCAGGGTTTGTAAATTTTTACTTCTAAGATTTTGGCCTGGCATAAAGTAGAAATAACCTGTCAGGCGAGGTGGCACAAGCCTTTAATGCCAGCACTTGGGAGGCAGAAGCGGGCGATCTTTGTTAGTTCAAGGCCAGCCTGGTCTACAGAGTAAGTTCCAGGCCAGCTGGGGCTACAGGGAGACCTTATCTCAAAAAGAACCCCCACCTGCCCCCCTGCTCCCCCCTAAAAGGTAGAAATAACCTGAAGTCAACAAGCTCTTCAGATCTACACAATTTAACTGAAAGAGATGACTTGAATCAGGAAGCACTCTTGAGAAGGATGCAGAGGGAAAATTATTTCTTTTTGTGGGGAAGAGAGAGAAAGATCTGTGGATCTGGCCAGAAAACCTGACAAGAGAAAGAACTGACGTCCGGAGAAGAAGGCAACCCCTCCTGAGGGAGGATTTGGCTCTTCTGAAAGACTGAGCGAAGCATTCAGGAAACAGAAAGCTGGACCTAGGGGCCCTTGGGATCTCCCATGTGGGCCTCTCACCTATAACAAATGGGGTGCCTGACCACTGACATCAGACTACCCTTTCTTTGTTCTGGATGTTACCATTCAACTTCTTCATCTCTAAATTGGGGGACCAAACATTCAGAACCCATACAGCTTTTATGAGGGTTAAAAGAGGTAAATCATGTCAGATGCTTAGAAGGAACATGCTCCCATGATACTTAATATATGTACCCTAAGGATCTTTGTACAACAGAAGGGGGAGTAGGGACACAGTGAATTTTTTTCCTAGTAGGCAGCATGCTGGCTCAGAAGTAGGTTGATGTGGCTGATCATCGTTTCTAAAGCATTTGCTTTCTTCCATAACCACAGAATCCTTGATTTCTTTGCATGGCTACTCCATAGAAAGACTACATCCCCCAACCTTCTTTGCAACTAGGTGTGGCTATATGACGACTTCCTGGCCATGGGCTGAGAGGGATGCGTGTGAGGTAAGAGAGGTGACTTAAAAGGAGGGCTAGAATACCCTGTATTGCTTCCTCTTACACAGAGCAGCCCAGAGCCATGCACAAGAAGCAGGTAGCTAGATCTGGCCAGAGACCTATGATGGATGTCCTAACCTGAAACCTAGTGCAATGAGAAGGCCTTTACCAGACGAACCCTGATTTTTATGTAAATAAGAAATAAGGGTCTAGAGAGATGGCTCAGTAGTTAAGAGTACTGACTGTTCTTGCAGAGGACCCAGGTTTGATTCCAGCACCCACATGGCAGCTAGCAACTGTCCATAACTCCAGTTCCAGGGGATGCCATGCCCTCTTCTGACCTCCTCAGGCATTGTGCAACACAGGTGTTATTTAAGTCATAGTTAACTTGGTCTCTGTTATATACAACTGAAGCTAAATCTTAGCTATAAAAAGTAGATTTGAAGCAAATGAATAAATAGGACATCTCTCAGTTATTTAAGCTTATCTATCAAAATCCCTACCCCTAGCCTTGTATATGGGAGCCTTGAGCGAGGGGTGCCAAGCACGTAGTTCACAAGGAGTTTATTATGGAACCCGGAGAGAGAGAGCATTTAGACTGGGGTGAAGCACGAACAGGAATTTGCGCTGCAGGAAAGGAATGAGGGCATTCCTCACAAAGTGAAGAGTTTGCATGAAAAGCTGAGACTGAATGCTATGCTGTTTGAGTGAGATGTCAGCAGTGTGGACAGTCTGAGGTAGAGGACACAGGGAAGCCTGAAACTCCTGAATACAGCTGTGTATTTAGGTCACTTTAAGATATATATATATATATATATATATATTTTTTTTTTTTTTTTTTTTCTTTTTGAGACAGGGTCTCCCTGTAGCCCCAGCTGGCCTGGAACTGGCTATGTAGACCAGGCTGGCCTTGAACTCACAGAGATCTGCTGCCTCTGCCTCTTGAGTCCTGGGATTAAAAGTGTGCGCCACCACACCTGGCTCACTTTAAGATTTTTTTTTTTAATGTAATTTGTTTCATGTTTGGTTTTGCTTTCCTGAAGATAATAATCTTTTAAAAATCAGGATCAAAACAATCTTTTAGGGAATAATTGGTAGCACTTTAGAGTCTATAAAATGGAGAAAAGACCTGGGACAGATAGAAGACGGCTGAGGAGGAGACAGGCAGAGACAGAAGAAAGAGGAGCTGACAGCGGTAAGAAGGGCCGAGGGAGGAAGCCTTTGTTTATTATGAATGTTCATATTTGCGCATGAGCGACAGCAAGTTATCACTGCAAGGTAGACACTCAACCTTTTGAGGAATAAAACACGATTCCTACAGAGCATATAGGGAGGGTAGACTACGTGCCTCTTTTGATCTTTCTCCCCGACCAATACACAGTCTATTGAGCCAAGTCCTGCACAGGCTGTGCACGGTCAGCAGGGTGTGCTGTTCTTTATCTTTTTCATTTTTCTTACCCCACTTCCTGCATATGTGCCCCTACAAACCTGAAACCTCCTAAAGGCAGGAAGCCTACAATTTTCCTTAGTGTGCCCTGAACCCATTGCATACCTGGGGTAGAGTAGATGCTCAGTCAAGGTTGTAGAAAGTAATCAATAGATGGATAAAACTTTATTAGGTATTCAGTACCACTGTTTAGTGAAAAGGCCAAGATTTGCTCAAACATTTATATTGCCTAGAACTCAAAGCAATCCTCCTGCCTCAGCCTTCCAAGTTTACAGGTATGTTCCACCATGCCTAGCTTTGTAACTACTACTTAAACATGAAGTTTTTCATTTATTTTTTTGTTTGTTTGTTTTTTGAGCCAGGGTCTCCCTGTAGCCCCAGCTGGCCTGGAACTCACTATGTAGACCAGGTTGGTCTTGCACTCACAGAAATCCCCCAGCCTTTATTGTCTTTTTTTTTTTTAGGGTCTCCTTGTAGCCCCAGATGGCCTCACTGGCCTCAATCTCACAGATTCTCTTGCATCTGCCTCTTGAGTGCTAAAATTAAAGATGTGTGCCACCTAAAAATAATAAATATTTTTTTTAAAGGGGCTGGAGAGATGGCTCAGCGGTTAAGAGCACTGACTGCTCTTGCAGAAGATCCTGGGATCCAGTGGCCTCTTCTGACCTCCGTGGGCATTGCATGACACGGGTGCACCTACCTACATTCAGGCAATACACTCATACACATAAAATAAAAATAATAAATAAAATATTTTTTAAAAAAGATGTGTGCCACCACACCTAGCTGTTTAAACAAGAATCTTTAAAGTAATTGGCTTATATTTGCTTATTTATACTGTCAATTTAAGTATGATGATATTTTATAAGCGACATTTCATTTTTTTAAACCTTCAGAATATTCAAATAATCTGCTAAGCAAGACTTCAGCAAAAACAAATACAATCTTCCCTGGATATACTCATATATATGTAGATACATATGTTTTCTATAACATTAGGTTATACCCTGAAACCACCTTCTTCAAGCTCTCGACAGTCATTAGTGGTTTTCCTGGGATCTGAGGATACTTAGGTCATTAAAATTACCGATTCATCTCTTCCTTGTTAGGGTCCCCTTCTGAGTCAGAGGAAGAAACTCCTAGAGAAATGAAAACAAGAGATGGGATTTTTAAGACAAGAATTCATTAATTCCTAGGCATTTGAAAGCCTAAAAAGGAATCTCAGTGGCCCTCTACATGAGCATCCAACTTGGAAAATGAGAAAGTAGATGACCCTCAGGAATTGCTCAAGGTAATGGTGGCTAGTTAGTGATACAGTTCAAATTCACTGGGCCAACTTCCAGAATGCAAAACACCTGCTGACATCCTTGGACTAACAGGGCAGTCTTTGAAGGCATTCTGTGGTGTTCGTAAATCCTTATACTCTTGGCCTACACAGATTGAATGAAAGAAGGAATTAACCCTGGATTCCAAGCATTGCAGGTGTGGGTGGGGGCCTTTTCCATCCTGTCTTAATATTAACAAGTCATACTTCAACTTAGGAGTGGAGATGTTTAGTGCCTGATGCCCTAAAGAAAAACAAACAGCAAACCAATCTCAGGACTCCTACCAGAACCTGTATCCTAGATTGACAAGTAGGTAAGTCCAGGAATATAGAGGAGAGCTAAGTCTGCAAACCTTTGCTATAGTCTGAAAACTTAAGGATAAAAACATATAACATACTCCTATCCATGTATCTAATCCACCAAATGTTGACCAAATCTCCTCTAGGTACTTGGCCCTCTGGAAAGCACTGGGGATAAAAATAAAGAATGGGACAGTCCTGGCCTTACCATCTTCTTGGTCAATGAGCATTTATTCCATAATTATACAAGATGTAAAGTACTCAAGGCAAGGTGTATGTAAGGATTATATAGGAGAGAAAAAGTGCTAGGGTGTGGTCCCCAGATAAAACACAGGATGAGCTAAAACAGGAACAAAAGCTTAGATCTCTGAGACTATAAATTGATTTCTTCTCTAAGTTTGGTGCTGCTATAAATCCTTTCCAGGACTTTCAGCTGGTCACCTCATCCCTATCCCTAATTCCCTATAGTTTATTCTTAACCAGCAGCCAGAGAGAGTCAGATCGTACTGTGTCTCTGCTCAGAATCTTCCAGAACTTCCCATGTCTCTCAGAATAAGAACCAAAATCCTTGTGATGACTTGTAAGGTCTTAGGGTTTGCTCACCCGCCTCCTTCGCCCTCAGCCTCACCTTGAACTCTAGACTTCATCTTCTCCCTTGTTTGTTCTACTTTGCCTGTTCTGCTCACCTCTCCTTTTTTAATTTTTAATTTTATGTGTATGAGTGTATTGCCTACATGTATGTAAGTGCACCCGTGTTGTGCAATGCCTACAGAGGACAGAAGAGGCTGTCAGATCTCCTGGAACTGGAGTTACGGACAGTTGTAAGCTTCCATGTGGGTGCTGGGATTCTAACCTGGGTCTTCTGCAAGAACAGCCAGTGTTCTTAACCCCTGAGCCATCTATCCAGCCCCCTCTTTTTTTTTTGATTGAGAAAAAAATTATTATTGGAGAGAGAGAGAGAGAGAGAGAGAGAGAGAGAGAGAGAGAGATTTTTGATTGAGAAAAAAAATTATTATTGGAGAGAGAGAGAGAGAGAGAGAGAGAAAGAGAAAGAGAGAATGCACAGGCATGAGTGGAGGTCAGAAGACAACTTTTGGGGGTGGCTCGTGTCCTTCCGCTTCTGTGAGAACCACAGTTTGAACTCAGGTGTCAGACTTGTTCAGCAAGTGGTTTTCATCCTCTGAGCATCTTGCTGGCCCAACACACTGGCCCATCTCTACCTTTACTTTTTTTTATTTTTTATTTATTTATTTTGAGACAGGGTCTTGCTGTAGCCTGAACTGGCCTGGAACTCACTATGTAGACCAGGCTGCTCTTGACCTCACAGAGATCCACCTGTCCTGCCTCCTGAGTGCTGGGATTAAAGGCATGCACCACCATGACCGGCCCATCTCCACCTTAAGATTGACCCTCTCTCACCTGAGGGCTACTAAACTTGATTTCTCCACTTTGCCCTCAACTATCCTGTGGTCACCACTTGTTTTAGTTTGCTTTCTCTGTTGCTGTCATAAATCACCCTCACCAAAAGCAACCTGAGGCAGGAAAGGGTTTATTTCATCTTACAACTTCCAGGCCATAATCCATTACCGAGGGAAGTTGGGGCAGGAACTCAAGGTAAGAACCTGGAGGCAGGAACTGTGGCAGAGTCCATGGGAGAATGCTGCTTACTGGTTTGCTCCTCTGGTGTGCTCAGCTACTTTTCTTATACAGCCTAACAGAGATGGCACTGCCCACAGTGGGCTGTGTCCTCCTACATAAGTTAGCAATTAAGAAAATGCCTCACAGACATGACCATGGGCCACTCCGATGGAGAAAATTCCTCCATTGAGATTCCTTCTTTCCAGATGACTCTAGTTTGTGTCCAGTTGACAAATACCAGCACAGTACCTCACTTCCTCTAGGTCTGTCCTCAAATGTCATCTGTTTACTAAGGTCTTCTCTGGCCACCCTATCTAAAATTACAGCACACATATACACACATACAATTCCTGTTCCTTTTCTTATTTCTTCTGTAATATTATGTACTTATCACATTGTTTTTAAGTTTATTCATCTCCTTTGTTTTTTGTCCCTCTCATTCTAATGTAAAGCCACCAGAATACCACTCTAGAGATGTTTGTTTACTTGATTTATGGCTGTACTCTCACTCTGTGGATGGGTAGAATAAGCCCTCAGTAAAGGCTTACTTATTAAAGACATATGCTTTGAGAGTGCACATCATGCTCCAAAAGGATCTTGCTTTACCTTCTATATAAATCTCAGCAGACGTCGAGTCTGTCCCGTAAATATTAGACGCAAAGCAGGAATATCTTCCTGTGTCCTCCTCGAAGGCTTCGGCTATGGTCAATGAGTGCAGATTTCCCGTCTGTGCGATGTGAATGTCTGGGGAATTTTCAAGCTCCTTCCCTTCACAATACCACCTGTGAGGAAAGGAATATGGTCACTGGACACAACTAAAATATGAGACTCATTGAGTTTGGTGGCACTCTCCTGTTAGCCCAGAACTCAGCAGGTAGAGGCGGGAGGATCAGAAGTTCAAAGTCATCCTCCTTTACATAGTGAATTTGAGACCAGCCAGAGCTACATGAGATCCTGCCTCAAAACAAAAACAAAAAAATAAATAAAAGTAAGTAAAATAAGAGACTCAATAGCACAGACAGCTCCAGATAGTCCCTGAGAGGAAAACTGACACTTTGAACATTGAGAATCCATTGTTTTAGTACTGATTGTGAGAATAAGGAGAATTGGCAATCTTCAAACCACACTGACACTTTACTCAGGAAATCAGAAAGTGACTTCTATTAAGAATTATACATGAGGGGGGTGGAGAACACTGGCTGTTAAGAACACTGGCTGTTCTTGTAGAAGACCTAAGTTCAAATCCCAGCACCCACATGGCAGCTAACAACTGTCTATAACTCCAGTCCTAGGGGATCCGGCAGCCTCTTCTGTCCTCTGAGGGCATTGAACGACACAGGTGCACTTACCTTCATGCAGGCAATACATGCACACATATAAAATAAAATAATAAATAAATAAAAAGAATTATACATGGGGCTGGAGTGATGGCTCAGTGGTGATGAGCACTGGCTGCTCTTGCAGAGGACCTGGGTTTGGTTCCCAGTACCCACATCAGGTTGGTCACAACCTCCTGTAACTCCAGCTCCAAGAGATCTAACAATATCTTCTGGCTTCCACAGGCACTGTACTTATATACGCAAATCCACACATATATACATTATTTTTTTAAAATTATTATTATTATTTCTTGGTCTTTTTGAGGCAGGGTTTCCTGTAGCTGCTGCTGGCCTGGATCTCACTATGTAGACCAGGCTGGCCTTGGACTCACAGAGATCCTCCTGCCTCTGCCTCCCAAGAGCTGGGATTAAAGGCATGTGCCACCACATCTGGCTTAATTTTTTTTTATTTAATGTGTATGAGTGTGTTGCCTGCATGTAAGTGCACTTGTGTCATGCAAAGTACTTGGAGGTCAGAAGAGGGCGTCGGATCCCCTGGAACTGAAGCTAAGGACAGTTGTTAGCTGCCATGTGGGTGCTGGGATTCGAACCCAGGTCCTCTGCAAGAGTAGTAAGTGCTCTTAACCACTGAACCATCTCTCCAGCCTTACACATAATGTTTTTTTTTTAAAGGGTATTATACAATTGAGAGATGTTGAGGAAAACAAGCAACATCAATCAATATGGAATTTTCCTTCCCCTAAAATGACTTTTACTTCTTGTAGTGTGTGTTAAATAAGCACTGCTTTATCTTATGTCGAAAGCATAAAGCATTTATGAAGTTGGACACACTCTTGTTGTATCTGACAATGTATGACGTTAATCTGATCTGTTACTACTTCTCCCAGGACTGGCTTAACCCTAGCAAATAACCTAGCAACTGTGTTTCCACAGGCTAGGCATGACCTTTTATTTTAATTTTATGTACCTGAAGTTAGAATCTTTTACTATAGCATATGAGGCTTTTTAAAAAACTGTTTAAAAAAAAACTTAAAAAAATTTTTTATATGTATGCATGTATTGCCTGCACGTAGGCAAGTGCACCCTTGTTGTGCAATGCCCGCAGAGGTCAGAATAGGCTGTCGGACCCCCGGGACTAGAGTTATGGACTGTTGTTAGCTGCCATGTGGGTGCTGGGATTCGAGCCTGGGTCTTCTGCAAGAACAACCAGTGTTCTTAACTTCTGAGCCATCTCTCCAGCCCCAGTATATGAGACTTTTTTGACCAAAAGTTTACACAAAATAATAATGAAATATTTAAAATGTGGGGGCTGGAGAGATGACTCAGTGGTGAAGAGCTCTTCTAGAGGACCTGAGTTCAATTCCCAGCACCCACATCAGGTGGCTCACAATCTCCAGCTCCAGGGGATCTGACAGCTCTGGCCTCTGCAGTCACCTGCACTCATGTTCAGAGACCCACATGAAGAAACACACACAATTAAAGATAAACATTAAAAAATATTTAAAATGTGGAGGTGCATGTTAAGAAAATGAAGGTTAAAATTAAATGGAAATATTTCTCACACAGCAGTTTGGAACGAGTCTATTGATCACTTTCATATATTATTAGTAAGGATGTAAAATTGTACCACTCCTGGCAATACTGCTAAAATTACAGATGCATTTTATCCTTCCAGCCAACAATCTTGTTGGAATCTGTGATACCGATATATTTGCATACATAAAAAATGATAAATATATAGATTACTAATTGAAATAGAACAAGATTGGAAACAAGGCTACTGTCCATCACTAGGAACTAAATAAACCATGATTGAGCCATACAATGGAACAGTGCTCCAAAATAGATGAAAAAGATTCCTTAAGTGCCGATAAGAAGGAATCCAAAGACATATTTAACCCCTCAAGTGGCTGGCCCCTCCCTCCCATCACTTAACAAAGCCCGATTCGAAGGCACACTCTAGAAAACTCATCTTTTTACCTACTTCCCATAGTCAAGCTGTTCTCTGCTCTTCCATAAATATGTCTCAGCCACCCCTGTACTCAAGCCTCCATCTTGGTCACCCCTGTATTCCAGCCTCTGTCCATGTTCTGACAACCTTTTCTTCTGCTTTTCTGTAACTGTAAATATAACTCACCCAAGAAATTTGGCTCAGAAACCACCCCCTACACAGGGCTACATTTACCACCAATTCTCAATGATTATATTTTCTAAGTTTACTTTAAAAAAATACCCTATGGCATAAGTTTTGACTATATCATCTTCTCTGATTCTGTTTTGAATTTTTGTCTCACCAGTTTCACTGGATTGTAAATTCTTAGAATTCCTTGGATTCCATCTTCACTGGGATAGGACTGTCTCTTCAGTGACAGTGCCTTAGACACTCTCCACTAAGCTGGCCTATCTCATCCCAAGTTTCAATAACACCCGTTCCTCCAACCTGCGTTTTTAGCCCGCACAACCCGCATCTCCTTCTCCCTTTTCTTATATTTCAGTCTCATTTTTCTTCCTGTTCTGTGAACACATTTAGCTTTACACCATCATGAAATAGTTATTTCTTTCTTTGTTTATTGCAACAGGGTCTTATTACAAGAAAAAAACAAAAACAAAAACTGTGGAGGCGGAGAATATGCCTGCCACAGCATGCATGTGGATGTCACAGGACAACTTGCAGGAATCTGTTCTTTCTCTAGAGACTGAACTCAGGTCTGTCATCAGGCTTGGCAACAGGTATCTTTACCCGCTGAACCATCTCTCTGGCCCTTGAGATAGGGTATTACCAGAAATCCTGGGTAGCCTGAAGCTTGTTGTATAGCCCTGGCTAACCTTGAACTTTCAATTCTCTTGCCTCCACCTCCCAAGTGCTGGGATTACATGTGCTGCTCTACTTTGCTCACTGTGGAATTTTTGTGATTCTCCAAATCCTCCTCTTCAGACCTTCACTGCACAAATGGCACTTCCTTTTGTTAATTTTAAATGTTTCTTTATTTTATGTGTATGAGTGTTCTGCCTGCATGTGTGTAAGTGCACCTGTATTGTGCAATGCCTGTGAGGCCAGAAGAGGGTATCAGATCCCCTGGAACTGCAGTTATGGATGGTTGTTAGCCACCATGTGGGTGCTGGCAACTGAACCTGGGTCCGCTACAAGAGCAGCCAGGGCCCTTAACCACTGAGCCATCCATCTCTCCAGCCCTAATGTCATTTTTTGGAAGAGGCTGTCCTGGCCCTTTTTACCAATGTGACCTCTTTATCCTCACTCTATTATTTACCTTGTGGTTAGGTGCTTTTGTGTTGATGTGACCAAAGTACCTGAGGGAACAACTTAGAGGAGGAAGGATTCATTTTGGCTCAAGGTTTCAGAGGGTTTAGCCTATCCTTAATTGGCCACATGCTCTTGGGCAGAATATCACAGCAGTGTGATGGTGTGTCAGAAGAGGCAATTCACCTTACAGTGGACAGGAAGCAGAGAGAGTGGAGCAGTCAGACAGAACCTTCCAAGCCAATGACAGTGACCTCCTTCCTTCAAATGGGCCCCACCTCGTAAAGTTTCTAGCATCTTCCAACATAGCATCACCCACTGGGAAAAATCACTCAACACATGAGCCTTCAGGCAACATGTTAGATTCAAACCACAATATCTTTTTCTGTTGTTTTCACAGCACTCCTTACAGTCTGAAATTACGTGTACGTACACTCGTCACTGATTACTCCCCTCACCACATTAAAAAACGTATTTATAGATGGGCGTGGTGGTGCACACCTAAATCCCAGCACCCAGGAGGCAGAGATACGCTGATCTCTGTGAGTTCAAGGCCAGCCTGATCCACATAGTGAGTTCCAGATCAGCTTGACCCTGTCTCAAAAAGACCAAAAAATTCATTTATTTATTTTTATTTTTTATGTGTATGAATGCCTTGCCTGCATGTATATAAATATACCATGTGGGTGCAATGCCCAAGGAGGGAGCTGGGACCTGAACCCAGGTCCTTCGCAAGAGCAGTTAGTGCTCTTGATTGCTGAGTCATCCCTGCAGGTCCTCCAGTCACTACATTTTAAGGTCCATGAAAAGACCTTATGAGTTACGTTTACCACTGCAATCCCATTACCTATGACAATGCTCTGACACATGACAGGTACTCAAAAAATAAGAGTTGATGCACTTGTCAAAAGACCAAATGATGGGAAAAATGAACAGTTAATGGCTTGTGAGTTTGGGGGTTTGCTTTATCAGATCACTGCCAGCCTGAGTTTTGTTGTGGCAGTGGGAGAACCCAGTACACGCAGCAGATTGGGATTCACCAGTCACCTAGGGCGTGCACCTCACCAAGGCTGCAAGGAGCGGCTAGGGACCAACCCTCAGAGCAAATGCAAACACTGGGCTTTTGATAAAACACTGGGCAGTGAGCACATTTGTTCTCTTTAGTCTCCTCCAGAAATACCTG